TCTTACGATACCATTTTATAATTTTGTAAATGTGTCCTAACGTTCGTTACAATTGCCCCGTACCACTTTGGGTATAGGTGTGTACCCATTTGTTGTGTTTCGCAAGGCCCGTGGAGAAGTAAGAACTTTTAATATATATATGCTATGACCGCCACACCACATTTGACCTCGGTCTCTTCTACCGAACAGCCATTCTTCTTTATCGCATTCTGTCGGGGTAGAATCCGCGCGCGAGCCGATCGGAGTTCCGGCACAAGGCGAAGCGATGGAGGTTAATTTCCGCGCTCGGTGCAGGGGGTTCTTTTTGCGGCCGCCTGCTTTGTCGAACGAGTTTGCTTATGCAAGCTGCCGGCCCGATCGGCCGCGTGGGCTCGAAATCGTCGTAAACCTCTTCTTCGAGGGGCTCGCTCGATGGCTCTCCATAAAGTAGTGCCGTGTAGGGCCTCTCGAGACGGCACCTCGTAATGGATAACGGCCTCGGGTCCGGGCTTTTTCGTGTAGCTCGTTGTCGCCGCCATCGCGGGAACGCTGACTTCCGGCGCGCCGATAATGCGGCCCATCCATTTAGAGCCCCATAGCTTCACCTCGTCGCGGAAGCGCGACTTCGTGATCGGACCAAGGCATAATTGATTTATCGCCGACGAAGAAGCTCGTCCGAGGGTTCGGTACGCGTTAACTCTTTCCCTACGGCGGGGGATTACGCGTACATTCTGCAGGGATTTTCATTTCGTTGCAGCGGTTATATTATAAATATTTATGTCAACTTTTGTTATCGTTCCTGATAAGTAATTGTAACAAATTAGCGATCAAACGTCCGAGTGTCTTGCACATACGGGGTTCGCTGCACATAGTTCGGGACACTCAAATGTGAATGCATCCTTCATAGATACTATTCGCGTCCGACGCGTCACGTATCGCAAATCAGGCATCATGGTTAGGGCCAGTTATCCCAATCGTAATGATCGTGAAATTTCGTAATTATTCCTAGGTAAACTCGGATTACTAAAGCTCGCGGGGCATCGATAAAAATTAGGTTAACCGTTGATTAAAATCCGCTAGTCGGGAACCGCCTAAAATCGAGCGATTAACTCTAATCACGGTTTAAGTAATTCTTTATTAACAAGTTCCGTGCCAAGACAGGTTTATGTGATCTAATTTTCTAGCCGCATAGATCATCTGGGCCTTACTTATAGATATTGCAATAAATAACGTTCCCGTGTACAAACGGATGATGTTTGGAAGTATTTCATGATTTTGATTCATATTATAGTCAAGGTACCAAAATTTCAAAGTGGGTCAAGTGGCACGGAAAGTGATAAGAATTTTAACGTTAATATTGGGGCAACCAGATCATAGACCCAAGGGTCTTTAGCGGGGGCCCTAGCCCTTACTTTACTGGCCGACACCCACCGCTTCGAAGGGCGGAATTCCGACTATTAATTGACCGGCGCGGGGCCGAAAAGCCCCGCGAATCATCGGGCATTAATCAGGTTTCAATTTAATCGCAATTATAGCCGATTACCCGGGCTACCTTATAATTCGGCCCGATTTACGAGCCCGAGTCGGCCGGCAGCTGTCGTAAATATCCGACCACCTTCGTCGGCACGCAGGGGTGGCGAGCTCCCCTGGCTCCCGAGTAACAAGTTTCGGGGCTCTCTTTCTTCCCCTGCTTTCCGGACTGCCTCCTCGTCCCAGGTAATATTTTCCTCGCCGAAGTGCCGCGCATTCGCTTAATGCTCCATTATCTCTTTAACACCTTGCAGCTATTAGCAGGTTTTCTTTCTTTTATCCTGAAAATTTAATCATTCCGGAAGGAACCGGGGGTGCACAGGGGATGGGAGAGACTCGAGATGCCCATTCCCGGGTTTTCGGATTCGTGGGCTTCCCTTTGCATTTTCTACCGGTCTCGCTGGGCTTTCTTGAAAAACGCTGAAACCAAACTGGCCTCGAGGTAAGAAATTTCCCAGTTCATCGATCGGCATTCTCAGCCCCTCTTAATGAACTTCTTTGAACCGCCAGGATCTCCAGGTCCGTTCGTGCACTTTTCCCTGAAGGTGTATTATCGCAGTCCCGTATAATCTCTTCATCCGGTGAAGATGCAATTGCCTTCCACGAAACTGAGAATCCCTAGCAGGAGGAAATCCATTTTGAACGGGTACTTCCATTCTTTAAATGCAGACTCTTCGTATTCCTCTTCATTCCTTGTTCACGTGTTACCAAAAAGCCTTTTCACTTGCATACCGCGTAACCACGCGAACAGGAAACATTTTCGTCGACTGGTTGGTTTACAAAATGGAAAGACGTAATGTACATACCCGACGTATTCGAAAGTCACCAAATAACACGTTTACGTTATGTTACGTCTCAATTGGTTCTACAATTGGTTCACCAAAACGTTCCTTGATGTACTTTATTTATAACAAAGTTTATGCAAAATAACTTAACAGCCAGGAGGTCGCTTGAGAAATTTACAGTCCCTTGGCATCAGTCTCGGTGACGCGTTCTGCGACAATTAAACCCACTCTGCCCCTTCCCGCGGCCATCTTCAACTCGCGAACTATCAGCCGGTAGTTGCAAAACACCGGCTGCTCGGCGCTCTATCCCAGCGGGAAAAAAGGCATCTTCGGGGCCGTTTGTTAATACGAAGTTTCGAAGTTCCTCGTCAAGCTCCCCTGGCCGCCGCCTCGCCGCCGATGAAATTCTCTTTAGAGCCGCAAAGTGCTTAGGATCCGAGTAATGCTCCATTATAACCACTAATACGGTAGCATTATAACAGTAAGTAGTACCTTGTCTTCTGCATGTTAGTCCCCGGAAGTAAGCACTGATCACTGTAATGCGACTACATCGTGCCCTAACGAGTAGCGTCTTCCTACAATTTCGAGTTCGACGGATGTTCCGCGCTCGGACTCGCCTCGACCTCCTCCCTGCCTCCGGCCATTACCTCGCCCCTCGGTGCATCCCTCGGTGCATCCCTCGGCGCATCCCCCGATGCATCTCTCCGCTCACTCCGGCCGTTTCGTCTTTTCTTGCTCGACTTCCGGCCCCGGGCCCTTTGCGACCAGGAGTAACGAGTTACCGGAGAGTCCCTCCCCGTAACCGAATACCTTCCGTTCTTTCGGCACTATGGCGGAAGGTCGGGGAGAAGAAACGGAGCGAAATCGAGGTTCCTCCTTTTCGAGCGGGGCGCCACGCGGCGCACCTTTGCAGGAGATTAAATCTCACATTAAACTCGAGCAGGACGGGAACCCGAGTAAATTAATAAAGTGCGACGTTTCGCCGGGTGTAATGGTACTTAATTCGACGGGCACGGCATGTCACGGAGGATATTCCTGCTTCCTGGTTCCGGGATTGTTGGAAAATCCTTGCGGCTGGATTAGACGTTTCGGGTTACAGTTTCCGGTTAATGCGCGCTAAGGAGAATTTATTATGTATTCGTCTTAGCAAAAGGGTGGAACGTCATCATCGGGAAACCAGCCATGGAGAATTGGAACTAATAGCTAACTGCAGTCTTAAGTTGATATGAAAGTGTCATGTATATGTACCAAAACGTCAAAATGTTTATTAAACTTTTCTCCAAACAGGGTGCACCGTATAATTTAAAACTTCAGCATGGAGGCCCTAAGGAAGAATGCGACGCTCGTGAAGTTTAATTATTCAAACGAAAATTTTGTATGTATACTAGACTGGAACCAAGGATACATATTTTGGTTTGAAAAATGAAATTTCATGAGCATTGCGTTCTTTCTTAGGGCCTTCATAATCACGTGTTAAAGTTGCCAACGATTCGGGGCACCCAGTTTAGAGAAAAGTTTTATCAATATATTGACGATTTATATCCTTGCAATGACTCTTTCATGTCAACTTAAGAGGGTCAAGACGTTGTGAAATGCTTTTTAATCGAAGGGAGTTTAATACCGTAAACGTCGCGTACGGTTACGTTTAATGAGATCATCATATTAATTAAAGTGTTGGTTACATGATGTTCTTTTTGGTTCAGCCTTAAAATGGCAATTGCCGGAAAACTGCGTCCCTTTTATTTCATGCGGAAGATGTACTTGTCAAAAGTTAACGATTTACTCGAAACCTCGGGACATGTATGTTTCAAGCGTATCAATTCGGATATTATAATGACATTAATGGTGATATTATCCTCAACCCTCATCACTGATTTCACTTCAGAATCGTGAATTTGCAATCAACACTGTGGTCTACAAATTCATTACCTAGAGCCATTGAACCAGCTATTGTACTCCAGCTATACAATATCGGGTTCGCAACTATTCCGCATTATTTCTAAAAATTCGTTTGGTCTAATAAACGAAATTCATAATTATCAAGATACGTTAATGACGTGCTGAGACTGCACAGGATAAAGAAATTGATGAGCATGGAAAAAGGAGATTTTGTCCAAATTGACAATCGTCGATAATAAATCGCATTAAAATATCCACAATATTTCCACATTATACTTTGACTATTAAAAAAAGTGTTTAAAAATCATTCTCCTAAAAACGGGTAATTCGCTTAAGCGAGTCCGCGGAATGTTTAATCTCCTTAATGACTACATCTAAGAACCGAAAGGATAATAATCAGGAATAAACCGACTCGAGATTATCCCAGTACGTTGAAACGTTCCCCCATTCCAGTGCAATTAACTTTCTCCGGGAATGGGGTTTTCATCTTTCCGGAGGTCCGAAAATAATTACGATCTCTTAGACGTCGGAAAAGGAGAAGCAAACGGAATGAAATTCTCGCACAGAGCGCAAACCCTTGGCGCCGTCATTGGCGGAAATCCATCTGAATTCGCGACTGCATGAGATTGTGTAAAAAGAGGAGAGCAAGTCTAGATCTCCGGTAGACGCGGAAAGAAAGGGGAACTAGGGAGCGGGGAATTAGGGAAGGATTCCGGAGTTGGAGCGAACTCGATGCGTTAGGAGCAGCCCCGACCTCAGCCCAGTCGATGTCGCGCGGTGACTTTTATGGATTCGTCGATGTTACAGGTGCACTGTCTCAATCCCAGTTCCCGGTGTTCACGATCTACGCGCAGAAGAGCTGTCTGGGAGTGAAACCCTGCGAGAGGGCTTGGTGCATCGACAGGGTCCAGGACCACCATCTTCATGGCCACGCCAGGAGAACGACCACCACGTCGTCGCGGCAGCATTGTTTGGAGCTCTGCCTCGGCGAGAGGGACTTCCTCTGCCGGTAAGTCCATTGTACACTTCCCGAGTAGAGATTATCGATCTTGGTCGAACCTCCGAATTCCGTATTCGTTTGGTCATGCGGTTTGCCGGCAGAAATTAGTTTCATTTAGTGGGGTACGATTACCCTTGAAAGCAAAGAACCTTCCGCCAATTCCCTTGGTCTCAATCTTGCATTTGCTCATCACTAAGTGATGTTGAGCAAAATTGGTCTTGATTTTCTAGCGCTGGTCACTCTTGGACTTACACTTGGTCTTGCACTTTTCGCAACACCAAAACCTGAACATAATTGCAAAACCAAGACCACAACACGATCGGGCAAAACCAAGTCTCGAGTATGCAAGAGCAAGCACAGGACCAAAACTACCATGGTCTTGGTCTTGCATTTGCTCATCGCCCCTAGAGATAACTTACTCCTGCACCCATTTACGAGGTGAACTTACGAGGTGTACACGACGCACTTGTCGTTTGTTACGGCCATGTATGCCGGGCCTCTGGGGTGTGGGGACGCATTCCCGTCGTGCGTCGACGTCGTCGACGAGAGGACGGTTCCACGCTCCGTCGCGCTTTCCAGTTATTGGATTCCACGGAAAGTTAGATCGCTCGTAAGGGGTTAGTCCATTCGGAGCACTCCGGTTTACGCTCCGCCCGGAAGGGACCACCTCCCGGTCTCGCTGTTGAAGGAACGACCCGTACTTAACGCGGGGCATCGTCCACGACTTCAGGGACGAGGCGGGGATAAGAGGCACCTGATTCTGTCCAGAGCTCGGATACGGATGATCGAGATCGAGATCGGGATGCTGGCCCCCGAAGGCTCCTGGTGGCGTCCCGAGAGACCCCGGGCCTCGCCGAGGGCCTCTTCGACCGGGCCCGATCCTTTTATTGTCCGAGCCGCGTAACCGTGCGTAACCAAACGCAATTATGCGTATCAACGCGTTCTTTACGGGTTAAGCTGGAGCGACTTAAATAGTGCAGTTCCGCGTCATACCCGCGGTGTTTGCCCCGGTCGCCCCCGGTTTGCCGTTGCTCGCAATTGACTCTTACCATTGACTCGATCTTCTTATCGTCCGCAATGGCGATCGTCCGTTCCTATTATCACCTCAGGCCTGGGGCACACGTGTGTGTTTTTGCCGCACGACGCTGCTGGGACGCCGAAATTGCGGTTTCAAACACTATGGATCAGACATTTTAGGCGCTGTTGCGAACCCGCACTGCCAAGACTCCTCTCGGTACTGCAGGGCAACGCACCCACAACTCTGGTGAAACGGAACATTTCTGTATATGGTCCGACACGTACGGAACGTTCGCCGTTTATTACAGAGTAATTATGACGGAGTCAAATTTTTCAGACATGTTCAATATAGAACTCTTCATTGATGACATAATAAATTCTCCGGAGTTTTGACACGTATCCTAAGACGAATATCACGGTTTTTATGATTATATGTCTAATTGCTAGTTTTGTTCGTTTTGGCGACTTCTGATTTTGTTTCGTTTGTTTGGTTTAATTGGTGATCGACGTGGAAATATACACTTTCCATATTAAATACATAAAATATGTTTCTTTTTGTAGACGCCTATTTTGAACGATAAGCAATTGGTACCATTACACCACAGTGTGTGAATTTTCCGACCTCGCTGCCGTCGAGAGGCGTGAGCAGCAAAAACGCACATGTGTACAAACAGTCCTTACCTAAATGTTACTCACACCTCGTGGAAACGCTTACGCCGTTCTCCATCGGCATAAAAGTTCCTTTGAAATCCACCAACGTGTATCGTGTTTCTTTCTCCTCAATTTGCATTGCGATTCGGTTTCCTGTTGTATTTATATAGGGCGTGCAATGGTCGTTAGGAAACGACACATTGCATAGCGGTAACGAGGGCAACTTCCTGCATACAGAGAAGTTATCGCATTAGGGAAGCAAGTTCTTCAATTATCTTCAGAACTCTTTGGACTCTCCCTTTGCCCGCCGGCTTGACAGTCCTTTTATTGGCCAGACCTCGTAACCGCACGTAATCAGGGTTGCACTTATGCGTATAAACGCAGTTATTTACAGACCTCATTAAGAATAATGCAGTCCCTCTCATAAACGACTGTTTACGCGCCCCTGCGGCCTATTAGTAATAGTTGTCCTTTCATTAGCCCCGTTTTAATTATGCACTGACCCCCGGGTAATTCAGTTGCCGTTTCCATGGATTACCAAAATAGCGCTCTTCTTAACTGAACCGCGTAATCCCCTCTCTGGAAAAGATCTGCACGTGCGATTGAGTTATGTAACCATGGCGCACTCGTTTAACTATTTATGAAAAAAAGGTGGTTTAAATATCCTTCCTGTACCCGCAAAAGAATAAAGAAGTTACCCGGAATCTCTTGAACAAGCGGGCTTTGTTAACGAATTGTGATAAAGTTTCGAAACGGCACAATGGTAGTTAAAATTACGTTCCTTCAACATCCAATCATACTTTGAGTAAAAAAAAACTCAAGTAAATGCATTCTTGGTCCAACCTCGCTTAATCACGACCTGAATAATAGAAAGGTTAATTGTGAGGGCAAACTTGTCCCAAACATAATTACCGAAATTACGGACGTTCTTTACTTTGGACCGCCGTAACCAGGTTAAAAATCTAAATGTTCTAAATCGAAAATTCAACATATCGAACACTACGGATCGCTCGATTTAAGTAAAGCAGGAAGTAATAGAATAAGAAATTCGGCAATATTTAAAGCAAATTAATGTCCTTCGACTGAGCGGTATTTCTCTTTACTCTAAACACGTTATTACCGGCCATTTAATTAACTAACATAAGGAGACTAGAGTCCTTTCAACCTATGACTTCATTCATTTCTCTTTTTCCACAGTTGCAAATAGTGCACCTCTGATAGGATAATGCATCAGTCAGTCCCTCCTAATCGCAAATTTCGATTTGTTATAGTACCGCACCAACAACGAGGTGCCGTCCATTAAGACATTCTTATCTGCATACAGGCTCTTTTTGCTTCCCAACGCAATTACAGTTATCATCGCAGTCCCTCTTGTTCATAATAAATTCGCGTCGCACGTTGACAATTTATGCGTTCTCTCGCCCTGGCTGGAGTTAGATGTCACTGGCCGGCGTAGGTCGGCATCCAGCATCCTTTCATTAAGCAAGCAGGAGCGATAAAGACAAACGATACCGCCTCCCATTTAGGCGCATTTAACTCCGACTATGCCGCGAGTCGAGAGACTAATTGGCCGATTTTACGGCATCCTTCAAGCTGTCTCCGGTATCGGGGGAGCATCCGCGAAATCCAGCTCGTGCGGCCGACATGCGAGTGCGAGAGACTCCATCCTTGAACTCGCGCGAGATGCGCGTGCTCGGGCCCGACGTTACAGTAATTTGCCTGCTCATTGCGACGCACTTCCGCGTCTCTACGGCGTCCCAAAGCCGCGTAAAAATCCCAATTAATAAACTCGCTCGACCGGACAGAGCCGAGCAGAGCTCGTAAACGTCCCGGGCGGGACATTCGCCGGCCAAAATATGACGAGTCCCTCTCAGCCAATTGCGCTTCCACGGTTGAACCGCCACTGAGCGAGGCTTTCGGTCTAGACTCCGGGATATTGCACTTCACCCTTAATGCACGAAGCGGGGTATTTTGGGGTCCAATGGAGACCAACGTTTGTTTAAACGGAGCAGAACTCAACGATTAGCTTCTTCTTAAAGCGATATAATAAAATGGAGAACGAAATGGTTCGCTGAGAAACCTAAACTTAGAGATTAGGTTGGAATGAAGCCTGAATGAAAATGAATTTTTATCGGGTTCTTAAAATTGTCTGTGCTGTATTCTTAAGCAAATAACGCAATATGACTCTGTATAGCGTTGAAATATCTGAGAAACACCCTGAAAGGCATTTCACTAAATTTTTAGTGGAGGGACTTCGAGGACCCCGTCCTGTTTCGTATCACCCTAAGATGAATGAGAGAAACTTAATTGGTGTTGGTGAAATAAACGTGGTTTGTTTTTAAATCCATAGTTTGTAAATGTCAGGACATTTCTTAGGTGTTTGCGATTCAGGTGGTAATGCGTTTTCATGTGTTTTGGAGAGTTCGATGCAATGCTCCTCAGAAAAAAGTGTCTTATTTGAATTGAATGGTTTGAGACAGATTTCACTTCATCTTCATTCAGGGTGGGTCTTGAGATTTCGAATGAGACATCGCCTTATAATTGTTTCACGAGCCGGTCTCGTAAAACAATTATTAGGCGAAATAAAAAATGCACTGTTATTCCTCGTATGGCTAACTGTAACTCTTCTTAAGCGTTGGAATTAACCTTCCCGAATTATTTGCGGGAATATACAAAAGGTAATAAAAAGAGGAACGTGCACGCCTGGCACGTACGCAGATACGGTTATCTACCTTCAACATATACAAATTAAACGCAAACTACAGGGCGAGAAAGAAAGGCAGGAACTTGAAGTCTCATGAACCCTTACACGCGAGAGAAGAGGCGTCAAACATCGTAAAAGTCCCTCCCGTAATTTATGGACGACCCGTAAGAACTCGGTTGGGAACTGGCGAATGCTCGACTTTTCGGAGGCTTTTCTGCGGTTCGGTACCGCGTCGGAAACCTTAGGAAACGACTCTGGGAAAAATTCTTAACATCAAAGAATCTGGTGTCGCCCGTAAGGAAAGCTCAGCTGCGAATTGCGAATCGATCATATTCACCTGCATCTTCGAATGGGGGGTGCACAGACAGAAACATTTAGTTAAAGTAACTATATTTGACCTAACTTCTATAGTTCAAAAAGAACTTAGATACTTTTTATACCGAAATTAACCGTTTTCCTGAACTCGGAAGTTTAGTAACGGGTATTATATTTTTCGTATTACATTTCGTTGAAACACGCGACTCAAAGAAAAGCTACCGCAGGGTCGTTCTGTTAAAACACGTAATTCAGAGGGAAACCACCATAGTGGCCCTTAGTAACTAAAGGATGAGACTAAAATTAACCGTTTTCCTGAACT